TTTGTTTTTCACCTTTGAAATGACGCTGAAACACAACAAAACCTGCGCGACTGCCCTTTAAATTTATCACGGAGAAATGTGTAATCCCTTGATTTCCTGTTTGCGAAACTAAATCAGTGAAAAATGTCAAATGAAACGTTCTATTCCCATACTTTCTGGATCTCTCCGATCTGAATTCGTTGCAATTCAGCTTTAAAAAGCGCTTGAATTTCCCGAAAATCTCTCGCTTTTGACTGCAAGGCGTTCGAAATTGAACTAAAAAATACAAAATAGGGTTATTTCATGAAAGTTTCTCTAAGCAAGGTAACGGTTCAGCTGGAGTGATGTGTTTTCCCGAAAGCCGCTGACCAATCAGCGCCTTAAAAATGATCAGTTATGTCACGCCTTCTTTGGATCAGCATTTCTAGAAATGATCATCTAATAACTAATACAGCCTTCAAACCAGCTTCGAGTATGATAATAATATATTTTTTTTCCTTCAGTACCTCCAAAAATTACCGACAAGCCACCAGAGCTGGTCATTAGGGATCGAGGAACCAATGTACGCCTGTGCTGCAGGGCCACAGGGTACCCTCGTCCACTAGTTGAATGGAAACGTAATGATGACTGGTCTGTCATGATGGCGAACTCCCAGGAAGATGGATGCCTCGAAGTTGATATGGATAGAGAGAGCACACAAGGAACTCATTACGTTTGTCTGGCTACGAACAAATTTGGATTGGCGCAAATAGGAGCCTTGGTGTATGCAAGATCGTTCGGTATCACTCTTTCAGTTTTACACTTACTGTGGAGCGTCAAGTATATATGTCGTGAAAGTTTTTGTCTCATTTTTTTAATTGTTCAAATTGAATAATATGACGATTCAGCATAAAAAAAATATTCAAAAAGAAAGTGAAGCTGGATTTTTAGAGGCAGTAAAGGAACACTTTACGACCTCAATTAACTAAGAAAACCGAAATCGTACCAGGCTCTGCAATTCTTGCATGCGCCACCCTTCCATTGACAATGGCGCCTAATATCAAATCAATCAAACTGAAATCTTGAAGTCTCTCTACATTATTAAGTATTCGCTCCGACGAAGGGCTAACGCTCGAAACGTCAGCTTTTGTAATCATTACGGTGGCTAATTTACCATTTCAACTTTGTTGATATATCCAAATTATTAAGTATTGCATTATAATTTTTATGGCATTCCCCTCGGGCCTTTCTACATAAAACAAAAAATCTCTGGTGCTCTTCCAAAAGCGATTTCTGAAAAAGAAAACTCATGAAATCCCTACAGGTAAGTGAAAATTAAGTTGGAACCCTAGCATAGACAGGGTTACTCCTGCTAATTAGAGCTGGAAAAGCACAGTTTGAATACCCACCCAAACTTCCTGGAGTTGGACTAGTGAGCCCCAGATATACACTGACAGAAATATCCTTGTAGCAACAGCATACAGGCTTTAATCCGACTCAACCGTACCTTCAAAATTACCAGCCATTTTTCCAATTTTTAATTTTCGAAGGTTAGTTAAACATCATTTTCAAAACTCCAATTAAATAAATGTATTAGTGAGTGAATTTTTAGCTCTTTTTTTAAGGGAGAAAACAACATGTAATTTCAGGGACTGGCATCTATTTGTTTCTGAATCAACAGGTCTTACTTTACTTCTCTTCCATGTTTAGTTGCAGGACAATCATACATAATCGGAAACAATGAAGGGCACATCGCAGCCCTAAACCAATGGCTATACCCTGTTATAAGGAGTAGAACCTCTTCCTGGTTTATGTGTTGGACATTGACAATAAATGGTGGGAAAGCTTCTGCATTGCACGAGATGTGTGACAACAAAGGGCCGACTTTGGTTATTGTCCGTGTTGAAGATTACATCTTTGGTGGATACTCCAGTGTATCATGGAGTAAAGATCGTAAGTAACTGATTTCAAAATATTTCAAGTTTCCTTTTTCTGGTCCTGCAATGAGGCAAACACTTGCAAACTAAAATGTGAGGTTAGAGACGTAATATATCACCATTTATAATCCATCAAACATTTAGTTTGTTGCTCACGCAATTGTCTACACGCGTCACATGCTAAAACTGGGGAATATCCGAGGATACACCTCACTTATATCACCCAGTTTTCAAACCATATGTCAATTACAATGAAAGCGTTCGTTTCAAATTTATTTCAAGGTGAAAAAAGCATTTAGCTATTGTTACCGAAGAAAGGACGTGTTTTGTTTGTTCATAAAGTCGTACTACAGAACTCTAAAAATAAAACATCCCACACGTCAAACAGTGAGCTGTCGTACACATTTTTCCAAAAGTTGCAAAAAATGTTTGATGGATAAGAATCACAATAGCTTCCATTCGGCTCGAAAGATGATATTTGAGTGACGTGGGAACAAATAAGTTAGAAATTAACATTCTGATGACACGTTGAAGAGGTTGGTGTGGCATCACGAAAATTTTGGATTATTTAAGCGTTTCTAGGTCAGTCAGTCTTGGGTTTGACCACTATCTCTTTTTGCATTTCAAGTTGTAATTTTCCTTTTTCAACTCCCTTTACAACAGCTGATGGTTAAGATGCACACGAAAGCTTAATTGTCTTGCATTTAAACAACATCAACAGCACCAATTAGCTTCCTTTACACGACGAAAAAACTTCTTTAAGTGTTGCAAAAGCGTACAATTAGACAATACGCGATGTACATTAAAAAAATCTCTAAAGAGAAGAGAAATATTTCCATTCATCTCAGTTTACTAATAAACACTTTGCAATAACTCTGTTGCTACTTTGCTAATCCACTGAAGGTTGTGAGTACAAGTACAGTTCTACTGCCTTTTTGTTTTCATTGGTAAACAAGCCAGGCTGGGGACCAACAAAACTACCTCAAGAAGGAGATAGTCCTGGAGAGTCCATTTATACTTGTGGTCGATATGGACCCGTGTTTGGTAGGGGATTCGATCTTAAAATTGGAGACGACGCTGATTACAAGACAAATTCTGTTGCACATATCGGATGGACTTACAAGCCACCTAAAGGTCATAGCCATAAAACCAACTTTGCCAACACATTCATGGCGGGAAAAGAATACTTCTCACCAGACGAGGTTGAAGTGTTATATGAAAGAACTGACTAAAGCAAACGAGTTAAAGGAACGATTATATTGAAGAGAGCCATGAACATGTTTTCTTCGCAATTTTTTAATGATCATTTGTTACCAATTTTAAGACAAACCGCAACTTATTCTTAACATTTATAAAATTGTGGGGCTTTTGAAATTAATTATAACTTATGTATGCAAATAATTTTTAAAATTGAAGTATTAGTACCGCTTGTGTTTTTTCTATACTGTTATTGAATCCGACTGTTTTCATGAGCATTTATAGAGCAGCCTGGTATTGTAAATACTGTCAGGCACTGCAAGCATCGTTTCGTCAGTTTTCTATTTTGTTCTGTTAAATTTTTTCTCTATTAGTTCCATGATGGTTAATTGTGTGACTACTGTAAACAAAATCAGAAACCATTGCAATTAATGCATATTAAAATGTGTTGAAGCAAAAAAAGTATCTGTATTCAAGATTTCCTAGTTATCGAAGATCAAGTCAGAACTATTCTGTTTTCATTATCGGTGAAATATAAATTTCAAACGGATGTTTATGTAATGGTACTGCCCTGTCCGGTATCATTCGGATCTTATCATTTTTTTAGTCAGTAAAGCGTTTATGCAATTTGATTAAACGAAGGTGTGAGTTACAGCTTTAAACCGCGGAAAACAAAACAAAAAACAGATATGTGTTTATAAATCTCTTTCTCTTTTTTAGGGTTTCAATGGGTCACGTTGATGGTTGACGGTTAAAAATGAGCCCTTTTGACGGTTGACGGTAGATGTTTTGGAATATCGTCTATAAAAGACCTTAACACGCGAATTTGCCTATAATTTTCATGATGACGCGTTTGTAAAGAACTGTTAATTTATAGCACCTTTTATTAATAAATAACTACCGTTTTACGACGCCGTAAGTGTTTCCAAACCCGAAGTCTGTTCTGTCGCCAACCAGTTTTACTAGCGACTAGAAGTTAAAGGACTTACATAAATGTATTTTTGTGAGACACTCTATTTGCTTGCTTATTTGACGGCTGACGGTAAGAATATTGCGCTTTTGACGGTTAATGGTTAATATTTTGGCCACTTGACGGTTGACGGTTAACCCCATTGAGACCCTCCTTTTTGTGTATGCGCAACGAGGCAGGTAATATCATCATGCTAAAAGAGCCACACCGTCTGTTAAATGATTGTTTAAGAGCCTAAATGCACAATGACTGACCGATAGACTGCGACTACCAGACTTTAGTAATACCAGCATGATATAACCCCCATCTAGAACCCCGACGCTTCCCTCTCCCCCGAAGCTCCTCTCTCCCCCCGACGCTCCTCCTCCTCCCCCCGGCCCCCCTTAGACCCCTCCCCTCGCCGCTTTAACATTGCCATAATTTACCATCACTGGATAAAGAGTGGTACAGATTACACCCTCAAGTCACGAAAAGTCGTAAGCATTAGCAGTTGTATATTCAATTAAAACACGTAATTTTTTAAGTACAGATTTTCTGAAGTAAGAAATTTGGAAAAAAATTAAACTTTACCATGGTCTACTTACTAAGGTTATAGCAAAGAATCGCCAACATCACCGAGCGGCTGATAAATCTTTATTGCAGTAATATAATAGTCTGATCATAGACTATTAGAATACATCCTCAAGAACATTATCCAACAGTTTACTGAATGCTCCAAAACGTTCTCTGAAAGGCATAGCAAATGAAACAAATATACGGAAAGTTAACAAAACATTTCTTATGTATATGTGCACGATCCTTCGCAGTAAAGCACTATTTAAGCAATAGTGAAAATCAGACCTGAAAAAAATTCAGGCCTGTACGGGATTCGAACCACTGACCTCTGCGATACTAGTGCAGCGCTCTACCAATTGAGCTAACAAGCCAACTGGGAGCAGGCCATCAAATTAATTCGACATAAACCCGTAGATGATAAATCAAACAACAAACATATGAAATACATATATATGAACTGCGGTTATGAAACGTATATGTGCACGATCCTTCGCAGTAAAGCACTATTTAAGCAATAGTGAAAATCAGACCTGAAAAAAATTCAGGCCTGTACGGGATTCGAACCACTGACCTCTGCGATACTAGTGCAGCGCTCTACCAATTGAGCTAACAAGCCAACTGGGAGCAGGCCATCAAATTAATTCGACATAAACCCGTAGATGATAAATCAAACAACAAACATATGAAATACATATATATGAACTGCGGTTATGAAACGTATATGTGCACGATCCTTCGCAGTAAAGCACTATTTAAGCAATAGTGAAAATCAGACCTGAAAAAAATTCAGGCCTGTACGGGATTCGAACCACTGACCTCTGCGATACTAGTGCAGCGCTCTACCAATTGAGCTAACAAGCCAACTGGGAGCAGGCCATCAAATTAATTCGACATAAACCCGTAGATGATAAATCAAACAACAAACATATGAAATACATATATATGAACTGCGGTTATGAAACGTATATGTGCACGATCCTTCGCAGTAAAGCACTATTTAAGCAATAGTGAAAATCAGACCTGAAAAAAATTCAGGCCTGTACGGGATTCGAACCACTGACCTCTGCGATACTAGTGCAGCGCTCTACCAATTGAGCTAACAAGCCAACTGGGAGCAGGCCATCAAATTAATTCGACATAAACCCGTAGATGATAAATCAAACAACAAACATATGAAATACATATATATGAACTGCGGTTATGAAACGTATATGTGCACGATCCTTCGCAGTAAAGCACTATTTAACCAATAGTGAAAATCACNTCTCTCACAATCTTCAAGACTCTTGCAAGGATGCACTCTCCAGGAGCATTGGTTTACTGATTTAATGTAGAATTCTGGAGCCCTCATATGGTCACAGATTACGGTCCGGAAGATGTCTAAACAATATAAAGCAATTTTAGAACAGTGTTTAACGGTGGCAGTCATTTTAATCGTGTACTTTACAATCCTTGGTTTAAGGAGAAAAAACTCAAATGAAAAAAGATTACAATATAAATTTGGAGCACATAAAGTAGACGATGATGAAAAGGAAAAGATGAAAAGAAAGTATGGCGGAAATTAAGGAAAAAGGATCGCGGCCTGTGTTATTATGACCACCATTTTGATTTCTGGAAAGTATATGAATTCCAAACACGCGTAAATAACGAGGCTCAAGTGACTATATCAGCCGCTATTTTTCCTTTAGCTGTAATATCTTGCGCCTCTCGGGATTTGTCCGAGATGAACAACTTACTGATGTACAGTGGCAGGTCTTTCTCAAAATATTTAATAAGGAACACTATAAAAAACTGGATCACAAAGTAGAAGGAATTGGGAATTGGGAACTGGGACCCACTCGATCACAACGAAGTGTAAGTTAGATTAAAATCCCGATGTAATGCTGTTCGACAGCCGACAAACAATGTCCTGGGTTGAGAGTCCAGAAAAACCATGTATTGCCTTGATAGTGAGACACGTTTATTTCACGTTTACACGTTTATTTAACAATATATAATAACAATAACAATACACAAAATACACACAGTTAAAACTACAGATGAATAAATAGATGGTAAATGTGAAAACAAACTAAGTCTGCGGAAACAACTATGTGGTTAATTCAAGTTGACAGCGCATTATGTTGTGAGAGGTGAATACATAAGTGTAGCGGCCGCCTTTACCGATTAATAAAGGGACGCGAGAAAACTGTAGTGATGCCACCACAAGTCTAACAAAATCAGGCTGGTCCGTTTATTTAAGGCTTGATAAACGATAGCTTGATAAACACGAACTAAAGATTAACAACAGTTCGATCGAAATTCAACCATACTGACCGTCAAAGACTGTTAGGTTCCAACACAAAACACGAGCGTGTTCCTCCTTAATTTCTAGCTACATAAAGATTTTTGTCACGGTCCTAAAGCGGTTCAGAGTCCACGTGCGAATCCAAAATACCCGTATAAAGAGATCACGTGACGTAACAAAACTAAAGCTGAGAAGGCGTTACAATAAGATAAAATGGATAAGGTAGGATGGGCGAGACAAAGGTGATCGCTACTGAGAGTATTTACTAAATTTAGAGATTATCGATTCTAAATTTTCGTTGCAGTCTTCTAATTCTACTCTATTGAACAAGATTGTACGAATTTTTCTTTCAAAGATGAATTTTGGTAGTGTTCGGAGCTTAGTTGGTATCTCATTCCACAGTTTTGCACCGATTCTTGAAAACGATTTTCGTTCAATTTTAAGTTTTTATTTTTTAATGTAAAAGTTGTTGGAGGCTGAAGATCGCGTATTATATGAATGAATTTTTGTTGTAGGGATGAACAAATCCTTCAATTGGGAAGGAATAACATCATTATTTACATCATGCATTGTCTCAGCTAGCAATTTATAATACAAAAAGTGAATAGGTAAAGTCTTTGCACAAAGGAACTGAGGAATGGCGTGATCATACCTGTCAGCGAAACATATGAAACGGAGAGCACGTTTTTGGAGGATCAAAGGCTTATTTGATTTAGTTTTGCCAGCTTGTCCCCATGCAATTAAACTGTATCATAAATAAGGAACAACAAGGCAGTTGTATATACTAAGAAGAGTATGGAAAGGAACAAAATGCCTTATCTCAGACAGTAATCCAATGGTTTTGCTAAGGTTCAATATTATAGAGTCAATATGGTTTTTCCATGACAGTTTATAATCGATTAGGACACCGAGATATTTCACATGGTCTTTACATTCCAGGTGAGTTAATGTATTTGTTTGGCTATCGTTAATGTATATTGTGGGAAGAAAAGGAAGGCGTTTTTGGTAAGGGCGAAAAATTACGAAATTNCAGCGCTCTACCAATTGAGCTAACAAGCCAACTGGGAGCAGGCCATCAAATTAATTCGACATAAACCCGTAGATGATAAATCAAACAACAAACATATGAAATACATATATATGAACTGCGGTTATGAAACGTATATGTGCACGATCCTTCGCAGTAAAGCACTATTTAAGCAATAGTGAAAATCAGACCTGAAAAAAATTCAGGCCTGTACGGGATTCGAACCACTGACCTCTGCGATACTAGTGCAGCGCTCTACCAATTGAGCTAACAAGCCAACTGGGAGCAGGCCATCAAATTAATTCGACATAAACCCGTAGATGATAAATCAAACAACAAACATATGAAATACATATATATGAACTGCGGTTATGAAACGTATATGTGCACGATCCTTCGCAGTAAAGCACTATTTAAGCAATAGTGAAAATCAGACCTGAAAAAAATTCAGGCCTGTACGGGATTCGAACCACTGACCTCTGCGATACTAGTGCAGCGCTCTACCAATTGAGCTAACAAGCCAACTGGGAGCAGGCCATCAAATTAATTCGACATAAACCCGTAGATGATAAATCAAACAACAAACATATGAAATACATATATATGAACTGCGGTTATGAAACGAAAAGAAATGTTATATCTAGTACAACTAGGGAAATTTCATTTTAGATCCATAAAGTGGCAGCGAATTTTCGGGCTTAGTACAGTTTTGGGGCAATTTTCATCGACGGTTTTGCCACCAAAGAATTCAGTTTGACTTACAATACAATAACAACAACAATAACTAAGCATATGTAAAATTTTAATATTTAAAAGCTATTCGCCTCAGGTTCAGTGAATATTGTCGAATAATCCCCGAGACGAAGAATAGGGTAAATAACTGCGCGGTCCAATATCATCATAATTTGTATGAATTTAAACAGTTATGCCAGTTTGGATATATTTTCAATTTTCATCATGCCTGTTTTGTTCTGTTTTGTTTTAAAACACGAAACTATGCATACTACACGACTGTTAGCTGTGTTTGATTTTTATCAACTTACGTAAGTTTATAATCCAATTGATATTTCTA